TTTTTTTTTTTTTTCTCAAACAATTTTTGTTTTATTTATTGTACATGCAATAAGAATTTCTTTAATTTAAAAATTAAAAAATTGATGATTAAGAATTTTAATATGTTGAAATTGTTTAAGTAAGTTGTTTGATAAATATAAGAAGATTACATTGTTAACTATAGTTAAAATTCTTAAAAGGTAAATTTCTTTTATTTATTGCACATGTAATAAGAATTTCTTTAATTTCAAAATTGTCATTCAAAAAAAATAAAATAAAAAAATTGATGATTAAGAATTCGAATATTTTCAAATATTTTGTCAAATCAATTATTATATAAGATGCTTTTCATTCTTTGACCGGATATATATAGAATATGTATAATATATATTTTATTTTCTATTTTTTAAATTACACAGATCTTCAACATATGATAAATTTATGGTTTTGACCGGGTATGTAACACCCCAAGTTTTTATTAATAAAGGGAAATACTAGCTTTTAATGTTAAGCTAGCTTTTGTTAATAAATAATCATGTTCATGTTCAAAGTTCAAGTTATTCAGTTAGTTATATTCCAAGTCCGACTATTAGTCGATAAATTATTCAGTTTAATTATTTCAGTAACCGGATAAGTTTCCAGATTTAATTCCGATTGGTTTCATTAATTAATGAGTTCGGAATTAATAAGTTAAGTTGACGAATTATTCGAAATATCAATATTCGGATTAATCGTCCAAGTCAAGAATTCGAAATTATTATAGTTCGAATTAATTATTTCAGTCGAGATTTTCTGAAATTATTTTCGAAGTCACGTTTGTGTTCTGAATAATTTTGGTAGTTAAGTATCATGCTTAGTAATTAATTAAGCATAAAGATTATGCTTAATTAGCAATTAATCATGCTTAATTTGATTAAAGCCGTAGCATTTTGTCATACTCATATGTAAATGCCGTGAGTATTTGTTAGTGGGATTTGAGGAGAAAACTTTGTTTAGCATGAGGTGGCTTCATATTAGAACCTAAACAATGACTAAGCAAGTTATAATACACCTCATGCCCTATTTTCATGGCAAGTGTTAGGATGTCATTGGCTATTAAATTTTTTCACATCTTGCACCTTAATTTCCTACGCAAATATATAACTAAGGATGGGAGGAATTTTACCTTAAGCTTACATATAGTATTCAACAAATTTTAGAGAATTTTTCTCCTAATTAAATCTAAGTAACGCAAGGGAGAAAGGAGAAGAAGACGAACTCACGCACACGCCCGCACGAGGGTATTATGACGGCTGATCTTGAACATTTTGCTCAAGTAACCGAGCGATGAAGAGGGTAACGTCCTTCTGACCTTGTTCTGATGTTAAGACTATCATGCTAATGCTAAATCATGTGTTT